TGATTGGCTAAACCGGATTTCGCGGAGACCGGGTGACGTACTCCTTGTGGTCCGGGTTCAATCCCGGGGGTAGGCAGAAAGCCACCATTTTCTCCCAGATTGATATTTATATATATATATATATAATATAAGGTTACCGAGCCTAAGGGTTAACAACTCATGGCTTCTGGATACTAAAAAACATATTATATATATATATATATATATATATATATATATATATATATATGTGTGTGTGTGTGTGAGTGTGTACATACATTAAAAGTATGTGGTTAAGAACTAGCAAGGAAATCAAAATTAAAATTTTCAGAGCATCCCTCTACACTGTAGCAACATAAGGATGTGAGTCGTGGACTATCTCCCAGTCCTTAAAAAAAGAGAATAGGGGCATTTAAGCTGAAATGCTATAGAAAGATTCTCAGAATATCATGGACGGGGAAGATAAATACTGACATTTTAAAAGATCTGAACATCAAGGAGCATTGGCTTATAAACAGCATCTCGTCACGGAAGCTGAAATATTTTGGTCATATCAATCGCCGTGGCGGATTGAAAAAAAACAATAGCAGAAGGCATGTACCAGGAAGGAGGGGCAGGGGCCGACCATCACGAAGATGGGCACAGGATATAGGTGACTCCTTGCATATGAAAGTGCGTGAGAGCTGGCGAGGGACTGAGTGTCTTTCAGGCAGACTGTGATGAGAGCGACATTCTGCAGAGGACCTTCTACATAATATATATATATAGCTTCTTGCTACATTGCTACATAGAGTAAGGTTAGCAACATGCTTCTCAATTTTACCTTCTTGCACACGTGCACGGCTACCAACTTAGGAACAAACTCAACTGCCGACAATCAACAACACAGAATGGCACTCGTGTCCCGATCCAAACTCTGCCACTTTATTCACCTCGATTCTTACATTCTATTCAATTATAGTTTATCTACAATCATACGTTATCCTTAGCTATCACTATTAACTTCTATAATTTCCCGACTCGCTAGCGCAGTTGGTTAAACATGATTGCACGGCAACTGGGTGACAAAAATCATTGTGGTCCGGGTCCACGCCTGGGGGTAGGCAGAAAAGCCAAATTTCTCACAGAGTTCCGGTATCTATCATGGAATCAAGACTAAATGGTTGCGATATCCATAGTACCGAGCCAAAAAGATAACTCATGGTTTCTGGATATAAAAAAAAAAAAAAAAAAACTATAACTATCATTCAGACAACGCTTACTAGTATCCTTCGGTTAAACTATTTAAAAAAAAATAAATAAATAATAATTGTGTTTTGAATTATGTTAAATTAAGAATCGACATCACGGCGCTCGGGACGCTATCATAAACGCCGCGTCCCCATCTTCAGCAGCAAGCGAAGAGTTCCAATTCCGATGCCACCAGTAACTGTCTGATTGTATATCCGTCTCGCCTTTCCCTTGAGTGTTGAGCATCGGCCAGATTACCTGGTAACTCCTGGCATCTTCTGTGTCCTCAAAACGTAATGATCTTGTTTTCAATAACATGTTTAGTAAGTGTTAAGATTGTCTGTTTTACATTTGTTCCAGTGTGTACTTTGTATTGTTTGTGTTTAATACGTATGTTGCAGTTTATTCTTGTTGGTGATATTGCGTTGGTAACTGACCAAGATTAACCTCTGGTCTTTCCTTGTTAGTCTCTTCGGCCATGAGTATCCCGTGCGGCCATATCTAGCACGGGCTTTCTGCCTGGCGTGTTGTGACCGTCTACCACCATGCAAAGCACGGCCAACACATAAATGGAGGCACAGTGCAAAACTACCCTTTCGTAAATCAATATAAAGATGTCTTTTCGACAGCAGCTCACGGTATATCAGAAGTATGCAAATTAGATTCACAACATCCAACCATAGACATTGACTCGCAAATATGCAGGGGTAGGCCGCGGTGGCCACCTTTGCTTCATTTTAATTTGTTTCGTTATCTTAAATCTGCGATTAGCAAAGACCCGGTGACAGTAGTTTATGAAAAATCCACCGTACTCTTTTGGCTTCTAAATATTCGCTTTTACCCTTTCCCCCTAGAGGCAGATTCGAACAAGTGTTAGGAATCCGTCGGATGTGTCAGCCGAAGGGGTGCATATATTGCAGTGCTGAAAACTGACACCCTGCAACTTTAACCTTTTTTAAACCAAACTACGGGACCGAGAGGCACATACCTGTAGGCAGGGGTGCGAATCCAGGAAAGGGGCGGGGGAGGGGGGGGGGCTAAGGCCTCTTGAGGGGCTACCAAAGAAAAACAAATTATTTAAGCATCTAGAAACCCCTTCCCTACATTTGTAAGAGGGATAAACCCCCCCCCCCCCCCCCGTGATCCCCCACCCCCTTCTCCACTTCTCACCGCATAACATAAAAGGTAAACCTTACGCAAATCCCCCAAAACAGTGTTAGCCCTGCATATTTACACTTTAGGTCACTTTTGATTAGTGGTTGCTGAGCCTCGCCTCCTTTGCACAAGGTTACGGGGGTGTTACCACGATACCGTTGATATCGCGTGTTGTATATTTTAGCAGGACAGCGCTTTAATCGCTCCCAAAACACGGAGCACTGGCCCTAACACAAGACCCATAGGAGAGTGCTGTAACTAATGCCACAGGCATTCTCTTTCTCTGAATGAAAACAAAGATGGGAGACAACACAGAAAGCAAACATTAGAATGGGACACACCCGTAACCTTCAGCAAAGTAGACCAGCCTAAAAACTATTAATGAAGAGTGACCTAGTGCGTAAATGGGCGGGGCTAACTCTGTTTGGGGAGATTTTTAGATTTTTGTAATACCACATAAACATATATATATATACACACATTTATTTTCACACCCCCAAGTACACTTACACACACATTCCACATACATACATACCTATACACAGACGCAGGCACATAAACACTCGCAAACACATACACATGCAGACACACAAAACCGCAGACAAACACACACAGACACATGAGGACAACCACACACACATGAAGACACACGTTGAGGCCACTTGAGTCCTCCAAAACTCTAGAAAATGTATGAGGTGGTTTCTAGTTTGGGCTCCAATGGTCCATTGTGACGGTGGGGGGGGGGGGGGGTTGGGGGGGGCAGATCTACTAAAAGAATAATTTTTAGACTTGTGGGGGGAGGGGAGCAAGGCGGTGTGTGCGCCGCTGCTTGTTGGTATTTATTACCCTGTGATACGCCGTAACGCCGTGAAGGTAGTTATAAACTGTGAAAAATACTTCTCTCTTGTCTTCTTGCTGGAGCCCACACTCTATCCCAGTAGCTGCACGTTTATATGTGTGACACCAATTTTATCTTTGTTTACTTCGTTAGGTATTGTCACAACATTAGATTGCACACGTTTCTCAGACCTTTCACTCACAACTGGGGATCCCCAGCATGACCTCCAGCTTCTTGCTGGAGCCCACACTCTATCCCTGTAGCTGCACGTTATATGTGTGACACCAGTTTTATCTTTGTTTACTTCGTTAGGTTTTGTTACTGGTTAGCATGCCGTGCTTTGTTAAATCCTGCGAACATCCATCGTTAACAAAAACTGCAAGAGACGGAAAACCAAGTTAGTGTTAAAACCGAATTCGTGTTAAAACCGGAGGATAATTGACAAAAATTTATTCTGCCGGAACCAGTATTTTATTCATGTTAACCGAGTATTCTTCCTGAAGCCAGTTTTTGAAGATGGGAGTGTAGCGTAGGTGTCAGCCAGTTTGAAAGTTGCACGTTTCAGGGTTTGCCTGGTGTTAAGGACAAGTAACTCATTGGTGGACATTGCTGCAAAATATTAGACTGCCGCCTTACTCAGACTCGATTAAATACTCATTTAAATTAGGTATTAGCCAGACAGCTCTGTGCCTGTGTCTTCCTGCTGAATGGACCACAAGAACATGTTTTTCAAGACTATCCTCTCCTGGATCCTCCCCAGTGTCCCACCAAACAGACCTGACAGCTGAGATTTAGGGAAGCTTGAGAAACCTCGAACTGACATCCAAGTTCATGGCCCAAAGTCGATTTCAGCACATGATTAGAGATCACCGAAGAAGAAGGAGAAGACTAAGAAGAAAGAAAAAGAAGAAGGAGGAAGAAAAAGAAGAAAGAAGATGAAGAGAAAGAGATAAAGGAAGAAGATGAAAAAAAAATACGAAGAAGAGAAAGAAGAAGAAGGAACAGAAGGAAAAAGAAAATAAAGAAGTAGAAGAAGGAAGAAGAATAAGGAGGAAGAAGAGAAGAAGAAGAAGAAAAAGAAGGAAGATTAGGAATAAAGAAGAAAGGGAAAGACAGTAGAAGAAGAAGTTTTAAGACGAAGAAAGAAAGAAGAAGAAGAAGAGGAAGGAAGAAGAATGATTATGAAAATGAAGAAGAAGAAGAAGAAGAAGAAGAAGAAGAAGAAGAAGAAGAAGAAGAAGAAGAAGAAGAAGCAGAAGACCTTCACATATACTAAGTTCCCCATGTGAGTTCTGCGCTCTTTTGGGGCGAGTGGGGGAATAGATCCATTGCCAATATAACAAGCATGTCGCAGAAGCTAGACGATGCAAGTGGCAGCACAATGTCAAGAGATAAACGAACAACAGTTTGAGAGACTGTACTACCAAGACAAGGGACAGAGAAGATCCATTGCCATCAACCTTCATTGCGGAGACGGCACTTGGTTCAATTATATGATTGAATATATTTCTTGCGTATTTTCTTGCCTAAACGTTCTTGTGTAACATCATTCTCCTCCTCCTCATCATCATCATCATCATCATTTGGCGTGCCGATAAGCCATCTCACATGATCACCAAAATCAGGGATCAGGTTAATGGTTTTGTCTCACTCCATCCATGTGATCAGGAGGTCATTCAGGTATTTATCATTTTGTTTTCCTCCGTCAGTCCTGCCAGTTTGTTACCAAGTTCTCAAATGTAAAAATCCTCCGTGATTTTAGCTGTTGAAATAATGTTGTTTATTGCTTCGTTGGCAGATCCGCTTCACAGATGGCCACTGTTCCAGATGTCTCCTGTACTCAACAGTTATGTACGCCTTCAACGCGACAAGCACCCAGACGTACTGCAGGCAGATCGAATTTGGCGAGCAGGAGGTGTGCGAGTACAGCATCGCCGTGTCCTCGGTCTTCTGCCTGATTTATCCCTCGTTGTTTTCGGTGGTGTATTTCTTCTTGTACCGGCGAGACAACGCCGAGACTAGGGACGAGAACAAGTAGGTTATTTCTGTTACTGTGGACATTTGTTGTTTCTTTAGTTGCATAGAAATAATCGAGTAACAGAAAGTGTATTGATCGGCACTCATAGAAAGTTGAAAAGTAGAAGACACATAAAAATTAAAAGGTAGTTACTGTGCCGAATTGAACCTGTCACCTCCATCGGCGTCTGCGCCTCGCATGAGTTCAGGGTTAAAGAACATGGTCAACTAAGGCAACCCCCTATTATTATTTATTTATTTAGTTGACTAGAGCTGTAGAGGGGCTGCGTAATACCCCCTGCATGTCTGTGCTAGAGGTTCCGGGTTCAATCCCCGGTAAGGGCTGAGATGTTTTCACGTGGACTTGGACTTCTAGTAATTCCCCATGGTGTCTGCGTAGTGAGATTGGATGCTTGCAAGCATTTTTGTGCCCGTAAAAAATCCCAATTGGAAATCGAAAAGAGTAGCCTAATGGCGTTGTCCGGGCAAAATCTGGAGTTGAAAATCTGCCCAAAGTATTTCAGGATTCTCGTCGGTTCTACAGAGCCTGTGCACTGTGCTGAGCTTCTTCGGACTTAAGATCAGAGCACTTATGTGTTACGACCCGTGTTCCATGATGTTGTTCAAACGGCATAGTCCATTTAAGAAGTCGTGCCCAGATATTAATATCTGTATATTTCGTAACCGTTGGTAAGTTGCTGAAATTTGGGTAAAGCAGCCTGTTTAATAATCATGTCCTAATAAGAAATGTTTTTTTTTAAATATATAAACAAATATTTTGTTTTTATGTGGCCTTATATTCCGTATGAGTGTGTATCTGTCTGTCTGTCTGTCTGTCAATCTATCTATCTATCTATATCTATCTATCTATCTATCTATCTATCATCTATCTATCTATCTATCTATCTATCTATCTATCTATCTATCTATCTATCTATCTATCTATCTATCTATCTATCTACTAATATCTATCTATCTTCTATCTATCTATCTATCTAGATATCTATCTATCTATCTATTATCTATCTATCTATCTATCTATCTATCTATCTATCTAGATTATCTATCTATCTATCTATCTATCAGATCTATCTATCTTCTATCTATCTATCTATCTATCTATCTAGATCTATCTATCTACTATCTATCTATCTATCTATCTATCTATCTCACTATCTATCTATCTATCTATCAGCTATCTATCTATCTAGCGATCTATCTATCTATCTACTTATCTATCTATGCGCTATCTATCTATCTATCTATCTATCTATCTATCTATCTATCTATCTATCTATCTATCTATCTATCTATCTATCTATCTATCTATCTATCTATCTATCTATCTATCTATCTATCTATCTATCTATCTATCTATCTATCTATCTATCTATCTATATACATAGCATCTACCAGTTGAAAGCAAACACCCAGCATGCTTACAGTTAACTGACTAATTGGAACTTTTCACAACATTAGATTGCACACGTTTCTCAGATTGCACACGTTTCTCAGATTGCACACGTTTCTCAGATTGCACACGTTTCTCAGATTGCACACGTTTCTCAGATTGCACACGTTTCTCAGATTGCACACGTTTCTCAGATTGCACACGTTTCTCAGACCTTTCACTCACAACTGGTGATCTCCAGCATTGCCTCCAGCTAATTCTGGATTTTTCATTGTATGTGCGATAGGCTATCAAAATAATAGGCTATAAAAATAGTCATCAGTCATGGCTACAAATGTAAACTGAGTTCTAAACAATTTCCACTTGCGTCTTTTATTGTATAGTCTATATTTTATGGGTACCGAAATTATTAGTCGAGCAAAAAATCAAACAAATTCGCCGCTTTAAAAAAACATCAGCACCTGTGCAATTGTAAAGTATAAAATCATAAGGGCATTGGAAATCTAAGGCCACATGCAAAAATTCGTGTTGATGCGTACGTGAGTTTTGAAGATATTTGTTAAATTGTGAAGGCGCTATTTCTGAAACGCACTATCGTGGTAGTAGTAGTAGTAGAGCTAGTGGCGAAGAAGAAAAGGGAAGGGAAAGAGAGAAGAGGAATAAAAATGTTTTAGGGAGAGAATCAGAGGAGGAGGAGGAAGGTTTTTGAGTTTTTGAACAACGGATTTTTTTTTTTAACGCATCCAGAAACCATGAGTTGTAAACCCTTTGGTTCGGTACTATGGATATCGCAACCCTTCGGCCTTGATTCCATTGTAAATACCGTAAATCTGGGAGAAATGTGGCTTTTCTGCCTACCCCCGGGAGTGAACCCGGACCACAAGGAGTTCGTCACCCGGCCGCCGCGAAAGTCAGGTTTAACCAACTTCGCTAGAGAGCCGGGCAAACAACGGATCAACATCATAGCACACGGATAGTAACCCATAAGGGCTCCGTTCTTCTTCTAACTCAAGTCTGATTCCGAAGAAACTCAGCACAGTGCACAGCCTCTGTAGCACCGGAGAGGATACTGAAATACTTTGGGTAGATTTTTAACTTCAAATTTCGCCCGGGAAGCGCTGTTAGGCTGCTCTTTTCGAATTGCAACTGCCAAGGGATTTTTTTACGTGGGCAGCAATAACCACGGGCGTCCGCTCTCACTACCCAGAGATCAGGAATAAATTCCTAGAAGTCCAGGTCCACGTGAAAAAATCCCAGCCCTCACCGGGGTTTGAACCCAGAACCTCTAGCACTCGAGGTGGACTCTATACCTCTAGACCATACAGTCCCTTAGCTAAATGCCCAGTACACACGGAGGCGTGGAAAACGGTCCTCTAGTATACTGCCGTAGGAGACAAACCTATCTGCCTTTTCTTCGCCTCTTGGGGGGGGGGGGGGGGGGGGCGGTGTCAGCTTTTGGTACCAATGTCGAAACCAACGCGAGACAAACGGCCCGCAACTGGGATCGAACCCAGTACCCCGGCATTACCATGCGCGTTCGCAACGCCTAAGTTAGAGACGCCGACCAACTAACTATAGAGATCCGTATAGTTAGCCGTGGCTAGACTTAGGCCAATCGCCACTCGATGGGTTGTGTCGCCGGCCGTGCGGGACTTTCTCTGGCACCCATTTAAGGTTGGGTTGACCTGGGAGTCAAGGTCATTTTTTAAAGGGAAAAATGTCCGGTTCCGTTCGAACTCGAACCCAGCACCTTCGGATCCTCATGAAAGGGTCTAACCACTACGGCCCCCCCCCCCCCGGACTAAAGTCCGAAGGATTAACAACTGAAGGATGAGAATCCTACATTCGCAAATGCTCGAAACCCTGTTCAACCGGATAGATCAGTTTTGCTGAAGCTCCTGACGATGGGCACTTTTTACAACCCGATGTCTGGGCCGGGCAGGGTCATGGAATGATCATTCGATGGATCAATCAGTTTGTCCCCTTCAAGACGATACCTAAAGGTTTACCAGAACATCCTGCGGCTGAAAAACCGAATAAGGACGGCAAACCGATGCGGCAAATCCCAGATACCCCGTTGAATCTGCAGAGAAGTTATAATTAGGTCACCTGCACCTATGTACCAGCAAATATAAACTGCAGACCTTTGCAGGTAAAAAGACTTCCAAAAAATAAAAATGGTTGGATGATAACTAGACAGTCTTGGCTACAAACAGGTACATACAAGGGGAAATAACCATTAAAATTTCCTCCAGAGTATGTTAAATGATGGTCACAGCCTGGCTCTCTTGCGTAGTTGGCTAAACCGGATTGCGCGGTGACCGGGTGACGAACTCATTGTGGTCCGGGTTCATTCCCGGGGGTAGGCAGAAAAGCCACATTTCTCCCAGATTAACGGTACCTATAATGGAATCAAGGCCGAAGGCTTGCGATATCCATAGTACCGAGCCAAAGGGTTTACAACTCATGGTTTCTGGATACTTAAAAAAAAAAATGTTCACAACACAACATTATGGCTGCGAAACATACTTTTCTGTCTTGGAACTGAATAATATAATGTGAACTACTTACTAGTACATGCAGTCAACAGATACAACAGTGTCAGTGAGAAGCTCAGCTAAAATCAATTCAATCAATTCAATCATCCTTCCCCTAAGTGTTGAGCATTGGCCAGATCCCCTGGTAACTCCTTGCAGCGCCATTCTCCTCAGACTATAATGATCTATCTGCGCATCCGCACTGTTGACTCACTCCCAAATGGCCCTCACAATATCTAGCTTGTCATACATCAGTTCACCACTAAGTGATGCAGAGCCGGCCAGTCTATCTGCATACTAATTTCCCCACACCCCGGCATAACCTGGAGAAAATATCCAAAGGGTGCTAACTACCTGGGACCTCTACAAGTGATGCTTGCCACTCTGCACGAAGCCTGCATGTTTTCACGTGGACTAAACTAAACTTTGAACAGTGTTTCCGGAATGCCTAGTGTGACATGATAATCGTACTACCTGCAAACATGGAAGGGAAAACCTTTTTTTTCCCCAGTACTTAACATACTATTCAGTGGGAGCACTGTGGTGTAGCGGTTAGATGCTCACTTGTGGACAGAAGGTTGTGGGTTCAGACCCTCATGGCCTGATATCAATTAAACATGAAATTGGGCTCCTGGGTCAACTCAACCTTAAGTGGATACCAGGTACAGTCATGGGAAACACTTCATCAACTAGGTCACCCATTGGCTCGCCAGTAGACGACTCCGTCGGCCTCCTTTGATCACATCAATGCTGCAGGACTCTTTACAGGACTTTTGGTGGCGTGCAGTGCTAAGCCATTTTATATGGCACACATAACCTTGTCACAATTATAACCTAAAGCTCCCCCTTCACAGATGCTGGTTGAAAGTGACGATTTTTTCCCCCCAGCAAAGCACCTACCTACCTAATTATGGAAAATAAAGGCGGCCGGCGTGGTGTTAAACATATCACCTACCAAGTGCCGATTGGTCTTTGAAATTTAAGTCTGACTTTATATGCCCTGTATGCTTGAATGCGTGGAAACGGGCCCTTATACAATTCAGCATCTTTACCTGCTCAGGATTGCAGATTATATAAACTATGCCAGTTTGCATTTACAAAGTAATTGTGCAGTCTATAGATGACAAGAGAAGCCAAACTCTGAAACAACCATGCGATTTATTTTGGCTTTCTGTTTCCATTGAAGACATAATATGTTTGCAATAATTAAATTCTCATTTTTTCCCAGGTTAGATTTGGCACAAGGTCTCTTCTTGCTTCACATTTTGTTTGAAGTGGCTGTCGTGATTCTCATGTTGGTATCTGCTTGTTTGATCACAGCTGGATATAGATTTATCTGTGATTCCTTGCATGGTGATGGGCATCAGCTTGGCAGGTAGGATTGAGAAGTCACACCATGTTTTTGTCCGTCTTTTTCCCTGGCTAGCTCTGTATGTCAGTATCATTAAACTGTTGGTACCAGAACCTCAAGCAAGTTGATATGTTTAAGTACTTGGGTACCCTAATAACATGAGATGGAAGATGTATTTAGGAAGTTGAATGTCGAATAGCTCAAGCGATGGCTGCATTTTACACAATGAAGAAATATTTTATGCAATCTCTCTTTGTCAGTTATGATGAGAAAGAGAATTCTTGAAAGTTATGTAAATCCTATATTAATACATGGATGTGAATAATGGACAGTTAGTAAATAAGCAAAAACTATTTTGGAAGCTGCCAAGAGGTGGTTTTATAGACGAATGATAAGAACACCCTGGACTGATAAAAAGAGTAATGAAGACTTCTTGAAACTCACAAAGAGAACTGATTGTCCTCTTCAGAAAGAGATGCTCTACATTCTTTTGGTGATGTGATGAGAAGGAGAAAACTGGAGTACATCAATGTTTGTCTTATGGTTACTTTTGGGCAACCTTGCCTCCTTAATCCCCTTATTTCCAATTGTAATGCCTGTTTGATGTTTTGCTGGTTTCTTCTCAGGGTATGTCCAGTGTTATGCCATCCTCACTGCATTGTAACTGTTGATACTAGTGGTTTTCAAGGTGTTATATAATATATATATAATGCAGTGAAGTAGTATCATTAAAAAAATGCCAACAACATACACACACATTGAAGAAAGAGAGAAAATTGTGGGGATATGGAAGTGAGAATAAATATGTGGTATAATATACCATAAGTAATATACCATGTCTTACAAAACATAACTTAATGATTAATTATGTAACAGATTATGCTAACAACGTTGAACTATACAAAGTGCAGGGTGGAATTATGGAAATATATCAAGCAAATGAAAAGTAGAAGCTGCCAGCTTCACATTATCACAAACACAACCAACAAGTGAACATTGTGGCTAGACCACCTTCATCAGGACATACATCGATCTACAATACCCCAAATACAAAAAAGAATACACAAAAATCATTTAACTGATATATTTCAGATAGAAATCACATTTTTTTTCCTGGCCAATAGAATAAATGACAAGTGTATGGCCACTGAAAATTAATACTAGCTGGAGAACAACTTAGAGATATTAGATAAAACTGTGCTGAGTGTTATGTCCCTAGGATGGTATTAATGATTTGATTCAAATGTATGCAGCTGCATGGATGCTGAGAATTTTGCTAACTGGTGTGGTTATGATGGCAGTAACTTCTATGTCTCCCTGGCAATTTCCACAGTAAGTATTTGTTTTATAAACTAATTAGTGATATAGTTTAATTACTGGTATAGTTAAGACTCAGGGGGCTTAGTGGTCTCAAGGCATGGCTTCCGCCTCGATTTCTGAAGGTCCCGGGTTCAGGCACCGGTAAAGGCTGGGATTTTTAATAGTATTTTCCCCTGGTCTCTGGGTAGTAAGATTGGATGCCCGTGTGTATTGTTGCGCACATAAAAAAATCCCTTGGCAGTTGGAAATAAAATAAAAAGTAACGGCGCTGCCCGGTCTAAATTTGGAGTTGAAAATCTACCCAAAGTATTTCAGGATCTTCGCTGGTGCTACGTAGTTCGTGCACTGCGCTGAGATTCTTTGGACTCAGGCTTGAGTTAGAAGCAGAACAGAGCACTTTTGGGTTACTTCCCTCGTGCCGTGATGTTGATCCGTTGTATAAACCATAAGAAATATAAATATAATTCAGTTACTGGTATAGCTCATACATTCATATTTCCAGTTAATAGTATAGTTCAGACATTTACACAATTCTTTACTGGCATAGTTCAACTATTTGTATAGTTCAATTACTGGTATTGTTCACCTAATCATGTAGCAGGTCCTTTGCAAAACGTCGCTCTCATCACAGTCTGGCTGAAAGAATCTAGGTCCCTTGCCAGCTCTCCTACCTCATGCACTTTAATACTAAAGGAATCACTTATATAATGTCCCTGTCTTTGTGCTGGTTGCCCCCTGCCCCTCCTTCCTGGTACCATGCCTTCTGCTGTTATTTTTTTCCAGTCTGCCTTGGCACTTGATATGGCCAAAATATTTCAGCTTTCAAGAAATGATGCTGTTTATTAGCCAATTCTCCTTGATGTTCAGATCTTTTAGAATCTCAGTATTTCTTCTCTTCTTTGTCCTTGGTATTCTGAGAATCTTTAGTATTTCAGCTCAAAAGCAACTATTTGGTATAGTTCAACTATTTGTATTATTCAAATACTGATATATTTCAGCTTTTGGTATAGTTGAAAACTGTTCAATTCATTGTTTTAAAATAAAGGGGTCTCCTCGACTTACGACTGAGTTTTATGTCAACCACCATGTCATATGTTGAACTGGTTATAAGCTGAATTTATATTTTTCAACACTTTTTTCATTCAAATGGGTTATAAAACAAACAAATTCAATCGATATATGTATGAGAGGAAGAGAACAATGTGTGTATAATCAGTGTGCTATGGGAGCTGTTGTATCTACACCTCAAGATATTTGCTGCAGGAGACAGAGCTGTGATGTTGGTTCTTAAATCAGTAATCAATAATAGTATAATCTAGCTACTGGTACAGTTTAGCTGTTTGTATCATAAAGCAGTAAGTAAAAACAAAAAACAGGTCATCAGGTGTCTTGGTGAGTCATCAAGTGTCTTGGTGAGAGGTGTGGGCGATCATGCCTCTCCACAATCTGCAACTGTGTGTATCCGTTTGTGTGTTGACATCCCTCCATGCCATGGCAAAAGGCTGGCAAAAATCTTCTTATGTTGTCTTCCTCTGTCTATTTTTTCCACCAATCTGTGTAGTGGTCACAACATGCTCCAGTTTCAGTCTTCTCGTAACATGACCATAAAATGCTGTCTCTTTTTGATACTTGTGATAAGTTGTCTTTCAGCTCTTACCTCATTCAAAACCTCTAGGATGCTTTTTTTCAGCTGCCCAAGGAATTCTAAGGATTCTTCTGTAAAATCACATCTCTGAGGCCTCAGAAAATTATTTGACTTGTTCGGAGGCCTCAGAGAGTTATTGGGCTTGTTCGGAGGCCTCAGAGAGTTATTGGGCTTGTTCGGAGGCCTCAGAGAGTTATTGGGCTTGTTCGGAGGCCTCAGAGAGTTATTGGGCTTGTTCGGAGGCCTCAGAGAGTTATTGGGCTTGTTCGGAGGCCTCAGAGAGTTATTGGGCTTGTTCGGAGGCCTCAGAGAGTTATTGGGCTTGTTCGGAGGCCTCAGAGAGTTATTCGACTTGTTCGGAGGCCTCAGAGAGTTATTGGGCTTGTTCGGAGGCCTCAGAGAGTTATTGGACTTGTTCGGAGGCCTCAGAGAGTTATTGGACTTGTTCGGAGGCCTCAAAGAGTTATTGGGCTTGTTCGGAGGCCTCAGAGAGTTATTCGACTTGTTCGGAGGCCTCAGAGAGTTATTCGACTTGTTCGGAGGCCTCAGAGAGTTATTGGACTTGTTCGGAGGCCTCAGAGAGTTATTGGGCTTGTTCGGAGGCCTCAGAGAGTTATTCGACTTGTTCGGAGGCCTCAGAGAGTTATTGGACTTGTTCGGAGGCCTCAGAGAGTTATTCAGCTTGTTTATTAATTAAATACAGGTACATGTAAAAAAAAAATTCTTGTAATGACAAATAAAAAAAAAAAAAAAAGGATTAAGGAATGTGTGAACCTTGTAAAATGTAGTTTTCTATGTGTGAACTTTGTAAAATGTTGTTTTCTGTGTGTGAACCTTGTAAAATGTTGTTTTCTGTGTGTGAACTGTGTAAAATGTTATTTTCTGTGTGTGAACCGTGTAAAATGTTTTTTACCATGTGTGACCCTTGTAAAATGTTGTTTGCCATATGTGACCCTTGTAAAATGTTGTTTGCCATGTGTGACCCTTGTAAAATGTTGTTTGCCATGTGTGACCCTTGTAAAATGTTGTTTACACAAAAAAAAATTTGTCAGGAACATTCAAAATTCCCCAAAAATATAGGTCGTTACCATTTTCTAGTCACTGGGACAAAAGGGTAAATGAAGTAAGTAAAGGACTTTTTCTATGCTTTCAGGCATATAGGGCTAGATCTACATTTTATAGACCAGTCGGCACTTGGAGCGTAATATAGTCAGCATTATGCCAGCCGCCTTTACTTCTCAGGACTTTACCTTGTACCTATTTAAGGCTGGGTCAATCTGGGAACAAAGCTCAGTTTTGAATTAAATTTTTTTTTTAAATACAGCTCCATCAGGAAAGGTTGTATACCACACACAAATGTTCACATCTAAACAGGACATTTACCAAGTTGAAAGTAGACAAATCTGAATGAATACCAAGGCACCACTGTATTTCTGTTTTGTTGGTTATTTGTGTTTCAAATCAATGCAACACGTTTGCTCTGGCTTAATATTTCTTAATTTGTTTCTGATTTGAATCTTTCAGGCTGGCGGTTGGTGTCTGTTTGTGTCCTGGCTGTTGCAGGGGCTCCTGGGCATGTGGAAGTTATGGCGGCTAAACATGTTGCCAGTTTTACCTCTGCCATGCTGCAAGCAAGACGAATAACAGCCAAGCATAAACATTTAGCTCTTTAGAATATCTAAACATTTAGAACCTTGAAACCACTGTTGGTACATTTGTTAGAATCAGTAATTTTAACTCTTTTTTGTCCCAGGAAGTTGTCTGTTCAACTTTCCTTTATTCCAGCTAATTTATTAGACACTGAGATTGAGGAGTTAGCAATTTTGGAACCAGCAGGGTAAAAGTAATGAAGGAGTGAAGTTGATTTATGTCAGCTGTCTGAGAGAGATATTGGAAGTATTAGAGAGGCAAAGAGGGAGAGAGAACGAGAGAGAGAGAGAGAGAACACTAGATTGAGCAATAGAATAAAAGTCAAATAGAGAGAAAATGACCGTCAGTGAGTGAGTGTGTTGGTAGGTGGATTAAAAAGGGGTAAAGTGAAGAGACTGGAAATGTGATAGGAATACAAGATAAATATATAAAGAACATTTTTTTTTTAAAAGGAGAGAATATGTGGTGGCAATACAGAGACAAAGTAAGAAAGGAGGAAAGGCAGACAGAAAAAGAAGGAAAAATAAAGACAGAAAGCATGGGAGAGAAAGAAATAGAAAAAAAAGAGAAAGTGGGCAAATACAGCATAAAATGAACTTGACCAGCCCTTATCTTCTTTCAGAGTTAACTTATCATAAACCAGATAACTTTTATCACTACTTTCTCCTGTAGTTTTTGTGCGTACTCATCCATTACAGCAAGCAAAGCTTCATACCATCCCATTCATCGATACCCCAGGATGTGCTGGTGTGAAACGCAACAAAAGGGCAGATGCTTTGCAGGCAACACCACCAAAAGAAATGGACCTCTTGTAGACAGCATTGCTACATCAGTCAGTACAGAACAGGAGTCTTCTGTGTGAACACACTAACAAATTTGCTTAGGAGATCAGCACATATGGTTATGCCTGTGCCCTGTGCAGGTCCCTAGGCCCCACTTTAGGAAAAGAAGAACAGATGATGCAGATGTATGAAGCTTTGCTTGTTGTAATGATTCATCCCATTCTCTTTGCATCAATCCAGCTTTGATCATCTTTATTAAGTTACTCAGAAAACAAGCCACCTTTGCTAATTCTCCTACCGGTATTGTTCGTCCCCAAGTGGCTTCAAGATAATGTGTCCATCTTTGTGCTGGTCAACCCCTGCCTTGTTTGTTGTTGTTATAATTGTATATTAGTCTTCAAATATTGTAGTCATTTGTGTTTCATACTGAAAGAGTTACTTTTATAGATTATGCTGGCTACCACTAATCCTCTCATCCCCGAGAACGCTAAAAGAAATGGGTCATGATCCCACTGGAATTCAGGGAAAATTAATTTTTCTTTAACATTTTTAAGTCCCAAGAAACGCATCATGCGTTCATAGGTTACAACCTAGAAGCCCAATGAACGCATGATGCACCGACTTTACATCTCTTTTGACTACCGCTTGGGCCTATGATGCTAAACTCTCTGGGAGTTTAAATAACAGTTTTAAACAGGTTACTAAAAAATTCGCAAAAATTAGTAAACATGACAGGGGGCAAGCATGCAGTGGAATACATTCCTCTGAGTTTTAAACAATTGTATCAAGTGACCTAGGACCTTTATCATTGAGGCTCATGGGAAAATGTGACGTCAACTTGGTGTTAAAATAGCAAATTGGCTCTAAGGACCCACCCCCCTTTTTATGCATAAAGGCTAATTTTAGTTAATGTATTTATATCGAGACCTGTAAAACATGTGCGGGGGCATGAAAACTGCTAATAGCATTATCTTATCTTCTATAGATAAGTCGGAAAAGTGACATTTACAGGGAATTGGACCTAACTGGAAGTTTAGGTTTTTCGATTTCTCGGGGCAAAAGAAAGGGTTAAACATAATAGTAATTACTGTCAGATAGTAAGAGTTAATATTTAGTATTGTATGAAAAATTATTAAATATGATTATCATTACCAGCTTGCCTCTGTTGTTTACGAGTTATAAACAGTGGTTCATAATTCTGACATAACAAAGTTTGAAGTCAGCCATGGGTGATTTAGCAGCATATCATTTTGCGTCAATTTCCACAACAGTATGAGTGTCAGCTGTTGAGAAAGCAATGGTGCATCTATTATCATCCATTTATTCCCCCAACGGAGCACAGGTCCTCAACTAACTCACACAAAGTAATTCTTCCCTAAGCTATTTCAAGCAGCTCACCCCATGACCTCCCTATCTTTTCTTCACGCTCTAATTCCCCTTTTCATTCGATTTTCAGTCTGCCTTTATTTCTATGCCCCTGAGGGTTTCAGTGCAAAGTTAAATTGTTCTCAGTGTGTGTCCTATCCAGTGCCAGTGTGTTTCCTCTCAAAGCTCCACATTAGTGATTCTATCATACTATTTTATTCCCTTTATTCTAATGGCAAACTACTTAACATAAATCCTTAACCAAAAAACAAATGCTGTGGATTTACAGCACTCTGTTAATGATATGCTACTAACTGTATCATTGTTACTATTAAATGTTACAATAATTATTACATATTATTTAATTACTGAATCCCATATTATATGTTATGAAGTATTTTACGCTGTTTTACATTCCATTAGTTCATTGAATCATTATGCCCTTTGTTGCTTCTGCAAAAGAATTATAATGGCAACAGTTTGAGTGAAATGTTTTAAGTTATTCCTGCTATGCAATTGAATGTTTGTGTAAATGCAATGTTGGATGTAAAATCAAAATATCAGTAACTTATTTCTTTTGTTTTCATCTGAAGATAAAAATTTATTATGTCCGTTTCAACATGCCTGCAATATTTGTGCCTTTCGGCCAACACATCTGAATTCTGTATTTGTTTGTTCTGGCTAGCCTTCCTTGTCAGTTCTATGGGACACTACAGTCTCATTGCTGTGTAGTCATCTGTGTTTCCCAGGTGACAGGTGGTGCCCCCTATATGGCCGGTCCAGAGCGGCCATGTAAGGCTGGTCAGCTCTCAGGAGAAGGCAGGGGAAGAACACGAGCATTCTCCGCCACCCAAAGAAGCCGTCATAAATGTAGAGCAAATGCATGGTCCTCTGGTACTTGGGATCACCCTAAGGAATCACCACATCCTGATCGTTTAAAAGTTGAAAAAAAATTTAAAGGACCCTTTTCCATGTCGTTAGGTGTATAGGGCATATAGGGCTAGACCTACATTTTATAGACCAATCGGCACAAGCTGGTTTATATGGTCAGTATCACGCTGTCCGCCTTTACCCGGTACCCATTCAAGGCTGGGTTGGCTTGGGAGCCAAGGTCATTTTTGAAAAAGGTCTGGCTCTGCCAGGAAGCGAACCCACGACCCTCCGATCCGGAGTGAGCGTCTAGCTGCTCCTCCCCTTGTTGTTTAACCTCACTTCCATAAGTTGAGCCATGGGGTGTGCCTAGAGAAAGCATAATTTTCATCACTGTCTGAGTATTGAGCTGGAGTCTGTAGACAGTACAGTACCTAACACCTGTGGAGGAAACGTTACCTTTTCTTCTTCTTTGTGTTTGCCAGTTGTAAACTCTGGCAGAAAGTTCTGGTTGTTCATCCACCAGGACCTGAGTTTTGTGTGCACATCCATTTTACAAATCTCACTTATTTGTATGCAGACTGGTAGTTCCTCGTCTCTCAGGCAGATGAACTCTGACTTTGAAGGAGCACTCCAATTAGTCGACTCCTACGACATGCTTGTTGGGGAGACAGTGGGTCTATTCTTGTTCTCCCACAATGGGACCCTGAACCCACACAGGGAGAAACAACAATGTATTCCTCATCTCAGGTCATTTCTCCTGTGGGTCATACGGCCCTATGGGGGGGGGGGGACCCACAGCCCTTTAACAAGCCTGCCTCTAAGTGTAGCTAATTAATGGTTAGCTAAAGTAGGGTCTATTGCATGGCTATTCAACTAAATTTACTCAGGGACAAAATTTTGAAACGGGATCCTCACAGGCCCGAGCCCCAGTGTGGAAAGACCATTAATTACAACACAACTGGCAAGGATCTGGGGTCTACTTGTTAGGCCTCCGCTGACCACTTTGACCCATGGGCTACAAGGTGAATAGCCTCCTGTACTGGGTCAAAAGATATAGATATCACAGCTTAGCTGTAAGTCACAACATGCCAACTGCCTTTATAAGGGTCAGTGTAGAAGATGACCCCTGAAATGATTACCAGCAAATATTATAGACCCCTTGTGGTGAGTACCGGCACCTTATTATCTAGAGAGAAAAAAAGACGAGATATTGGATTTTATTGCACCCTCTCAAAATATGTAAAACAATTTGAAAAAACATGAAGTGGCCGTCAACTTTTTAGAATAAAATGCAGGATATTTTCGACTTACGACCAAGTTCCATTCTGACAAACAGGTCGTAAGGCAGATTAAAATTGTTTCCTTTCAAATGGGTTATAAAAATTGTACATAAAACACAAATTCAATCTATGTATGTATAATTAGTATTCTGGGTGTCATTTCTGCGAATTCTTTTTTTATCCGACCAAAAGAGTTATATTTCTTCACTTACTATTCTTATGCACATTCGTTTTTGTTTTTAAGCCGTAAGTGCGGATGCTCATAAATCACATAGTTTGTAAGTCGAGAAGGTGTACAATAAACAAAGGACATTGCAGAGACAAGACTTCATCAACAAACAAAGAGAACAAGCAACATGAAACAAACAAAGAAAAAATGATGATAATTATTTGATAATCAGGTGAGGGTTAGCCACATTCACTTACAATGACACCAGCTGTACACACGTCGTCATTGTAACTGACTCACAGAGCATGTTGAGAAAGGTGGAGACAGGCCTGCTCCGTGCAGAGTGGCAAGCATCACTTTAGAGATCCCAGGTAGTTAGTATCCTTTGGATATTTTCTCCAGGTGATGCAGGTGTGTTGGGAAATGAGCAGGCGGATAGACTGGATGGTTCTGCACCACTTGGTGGTGAACTAATACATGACAAGCTGGATGTTGTGAGAGCCCTTTGGGAGCGAGTGAACAGTG